TCTAATAAAAACAATAATTATGAACCATTGAACAGTACTATTGCTTTAATCTACTGATTTCTGACAACTCTCCTTGGGTCAACATTTAGCAACAAACTATCACTCAACACCAATAATAGATAAAAAATTGCCTTCTCCTTGCAATTTAAGGCAAATACATTACCTACTCAGGGTTTGTAAAAGCCTTGAAAGTCCTTGAAGATGCTTGAATTTAAGAATAAAAAAAATTCAAGGCCTGGAAAGTACTTCAATCTGAGGACTAGGGCTTGATTTTAGCAAAGCTTTTCCTTACACAATTTTCAAGTTGAAAATTACAGTACTTTCGTGGAAAAGTTGAGAAATAATATTAAATAATTATAAAATTGCTTATGCAAACCATTCCATAAGCGGTCCTTCAATTTTCTAAAACTTGGTCTTCAAAGTAATTGAAAAGTCCTTGAATTTCAACCTTTGGCATTTGTAGGAACCTACTCCTATATGGTAATATATTATTTTGATTGTTTTCTAGTACCATAACAACATTCATTACACTCAGCAGACAAAAATAAACACAAGTAGAATTATTCATGACTAGCAATAACGAAATTGCGTGGCAACAGTGACGATCGCAATATGGCAGTCCCCTAAAGATAACTCCAGATGTGCGATATTGAAAGTCCGAGTTCACGCAGCCATGCGTCTTGTTCATCAGTACAATCCATCCGAAATCCATCCAGGAAGTTAAATAGATGCATCAAGATCACAGCTAAGCAGATGCATGTCTGCGACGATTTTGAGTTGAGTCTTCGGCTAAATCGACCCGTACATTCCGTGGTGCATGTTTGAGGAGCGAAGAAACCGTTGGGTACGACCAAACATGCAACACTGCGGTAAAACGCACTGCGCATGAGTACAAATTTGAGCTTCCGGTAAATTACGCATTTCCGGTTACGTATTAAAATCCAATGTAAACAAGATAAAATCCTGTACCGCGAAGTTCGAAAACAAAAAGTAAGAGTCAGCAAAAAAAAGTAGGGGAAAGGTTTGTCTCGTTTAAAAGTTTATTTTTCATTTAAGTTTCAAGCGCTTGCACCAAGGGGTTTGGTGTTTGCACCAACAACAAAA